ATCGACGGCCGCTTTGCCTGGTAGCACGTGCAGCCTCGTTTGATCCTGTCCTTATCAGGGAGCTGTCTTAGCTCTGTTGCAGACCGTCCGTGCTCTCTTCAGTTGTGGATAGTTGTGGCAAAAGAGAGATTACCTCGTTACCACCCTCCTCCTCCCTCTCCTCCTCCTCNNTCCTCCTCTTGCTCCTCCTCCTCCTCCTCCTCTTCCTCCTTGGGTGCACCATAGCACGGCGGAGCTTTGAGGACGGCCGTGCCCTGGAGTTTGCCTCGGCGAAGCTGCGAGACGACAAGGCCCGGGCTACTCTTTATATGCTTCCGCATGCCTCCGCATCCGCATATGTCCGCATATCTATGCAGACGTCTAAGAAGCGCGCAGTGCTCTGCACGCGCTTCGTTCCGAGGAGATCGCCTTGGCGGCGGTCTGCCACCAGGGCCGGGCCTTGCGCTTCGCCTCGGAGCGGCTGCGCAGAGACCGGGCCACACGGCTGTCTCAGTTTAGCGGCAAAACTTCCCAACTCTCCGGCCTCTGACAGTTGGGATTCGGCTACCGAGGAAGTCGTCACCTGCGCCTGTGTCAATGACGGGTGGCTTCGACTGATAGAGTGAGATTTCGCGAGGATTTTGAATCCTGTTCATGGGGTATAGCTAGGTACTCTGGGCGGCGATGCTGCATGCTGCATCTGCTGAGGAATGCCTTGGAATATGCGATGAACTGGCGCAGAGACAAGAAAATGGTCCTTCTGGCAGTCGAACGGCACCAGGCGGGTGCAAAACGGCAGAATCAATCCCGACATCGGAAGATGCGCCTCGTTTCATGATCAGGCTCTGGACCGGCCGACGCTCGATGCTTAGTCACGGCGGCCTCTTCCGGAATCCAGAATTCGAGCATTCTGAAGTCAAGACTTTATTGGAGAGGTGCAGTCCCATCCAATTTGCTGCTCCTGAGCTGCTGGGGAACTTTGACTTCATGCTCCCAGCATGCACAGAAGCGCCAGGGTTACGAGCTGGACGGATCGAATTTCATGTCGAAATTCGACCGCCGTAATAATAAAAAAAAGAATCGGATAAGCACCATTTGAGAACAGCCCTGGTCAAGGTGGCAAGCGGCACAGCTCGACCGCTGCTGTGTTGACTTTGCTGCTGCTGACATACGCGTGCGCCTCAACTTCTCGCAAGCCAAAGACTCTTCGGTGGCCTAGCGCTAAATTCCCAAGTTCTTTTGCAGCAGCCCATCAGTTGCCGAAGACTGTGGATGAATCCGGGCACCTGTGATTGGTTGCAGGGAATCCATTGATGTGGCTAGCAGATAGATAGAACGAGTCGTTGCTACATGTTGCTACTGCGCATGGGATGCTGTGTGCTTGTATGGCAATGACATGAGCCGGTGCTGTTGCAGCCAAGGTCCGGTTTTGCGGACCGCTTTGGAGGAGTGCCGTGCTGTCTACACGCAAAGCACACTTGCCCTGGCGAAATACTTGCCTCGCTTGGCAGTATCGTTTTATACAGAATGTCCGAGCTGTCTTGCAAATTGTATCTTGCAGGAAAGTCTGGCTATGGATCACGGTTGTCTTGAGATGAAGGACTGGAGCCTACCTGCGCTTGCAAGGAGCAGTGTGCTTGAAAAGATAGGCGTTCGCTCTTGCTGCAGCAGCAGACAAGGTGCCGCTGTCGGAGTTGAAGTTCCGGTCGGAGCGCAGCACGGCGCCAGGAGCAGAGGACGGCCTGGACGGATGTGCTTTTGCACTGCTTCGCGCTGCCAAGCTTCTGTCGGAACACTCGAGGTGGACATCGTTTCACCTTGTGCAGGACTCGGAATCGGAGTCAGACGGGGACGGCAGCGTTTACAGCATCTGAGTGGCCTAACACAGCCGCTGCGCATTCGGAAAGTAGTATGCTGCAATGCTTAGGATGCTTAGGTTGTACAGACAGGTCCTGACATCATCCATCGTGCTGGGATTCAGAGAACCTCTCAGCTGCGGATGATTTGGATACGCCCACGCCGCCACCACCGATTCGGGACCATTCAGATATTAATGCAGTTCCACAGTCTGCACGATCGTGATAGTGATAGCGATACCCACTTGCACCTTTTCGGTGTGTGCGTGCACTTCAGGCACTGAGCTTTTGCGTTTGAAGCATGAAATTGGCTAAGTAGTCTTGTCAGCTGCTAGCGGACACAGGTTTCTGCTGCTCTGCTCGTCGAATTTGGCATGGACGTACTCCCCAACGTTGGAGTGAGACCATGCAATTGCAAGTTCCTCTTGTGAGCTGTTCCAAAACGAACCTGTCCCGGCATCGTTCGGCTGTCGTCGACACGTGAGAATTTGCACACTGCTGAGGTTCTCTGTCACTTTGAAGCTTCAGTCCTGTTGAGAGGCCTTCGTGAAAGTTGAAGACAAGACTCTGCTGAAGAGGACAGCCTGGGAGAGTCAAGATAAATGCAGCAGTTTGGGGTTTAGTGAGGTATGCATGCCTTAGCCACCTTTGCCGATTCTATCTGTGTGTGTGTGTGTGCCGCCAGGTTCCAGACCCTTCTCGACAAATCGCAGCTTCCCCGGCAAGCATGACCATTGTGTGACTGTGTGGACTGCAGCTGCAGTGGCATCTGTGGCATCTTGCTTGCTGCAGGCACAAGAGCTCTTGCAATTTCACTCGGGATAGAAACTGGGCCAGCGGTATCTTGGCACGCTCTTGCAAAGTACAGCAGATTTCGACAAGTGTCGTTCCAACATGTCCCAACTCGTGGCATCCGTGGGTCGTTGCGATGTCCCTGAGACCTTGAGAACTTGAGGTGTGTTCGAGAACAACACGCCAGTGCCGACCGGATACGAGCTGGCCACTTGACTGAATGGACGCCTGCCGTCGTCTGAGCTCGTTTTGTCCCAGGTAGGTGCTGTTCGCAACGAAAATGCGGCACTTTGGCGAATCTACCAGGCCGCCTGTGCAAGCCTTCTGCATGCTTTGTCTCATGCTAAGCCTGTTCAGTATAAGAGGCTTCTGCTTCAAGTACCAGTAGCTGATTTGAAGAGCATACACATGCTTCTGTGCAGCTAGGCCTCACGTACTACGACTTGTAATGTGAAGGCAATCAGGTTGAGAGCTGAAGCGGACTGGGGCAGATCCGGAAAGCTGGGTGAATGCTGCCAGTAGGTAATGCGGAATGCGGAATGATGCGGCATGATGCGGGATGTCCTTTCGCAGACGCCTCAGGTCTCGAAGGAGGTTACGCGGTTGGACTGCGCGAAGCCTCTGAAGGAGCGGCGGCGGAGACATGTCACAGGGGATTGGAGCGCATGAAGGGGCATGATTGGAGCGCGGGGCGAGACGTGGGCCTTCGCCGTTTGAGGAAGCGCCCTTCAAGAAGTGGACGCCTTTGACGATGGAGGCTCGACCGAACACCGCTTTCAAGATGGAGTCTGAGTGTCTGGCTAATTCTGCCTATGAATTTGCAATGCAGGATCATGTCGGTCTGGCTGCGACGGCAGCTGTGCCATGCAATGCTTTTGCAGACTCCCGTCAGGCTGGCAAGGGCTTCGACTGGAGCGATTTCGACATCTGCGAAGATGCGAACGAATGGTCCGCTTTGGGGGCTTCTGATCGCTGAAACTCGCAGTCGAGTGCTTGCAAGCGGCTGTGCCAGCTGTCATGGCAAGGATTCTCTTCCATGCCTCCATTCCAGAGGCCACCTGACTGCGGGTACCTACTGTGTTCTTCGTTCGCCATCGCGGTTTGTCCGGAACTGTGAGTCGCCGGCTGGAAGCGAGTCCGGGAAGTCTGGGGGTCATTGTCATTCTGTGCTCTCTGGCACTGTAGCGGTTGTAGCGTGCCTCGTGTGTGATGACTGGGCCCCCGGCCTTTTCCCAGGGTCCACTTTTTGAGTCCTTAGCATTAATTCATTCCATGATCCTCAGCCTTTGTAAGCAGTCCCACCGCATGTCCCCTGTTGACCGAGCTTTAGTTCATTTGTTCCGATTCGCACCCCTGCGTTTCGGACGTCCCTGCCGATGCGGCAAGAGCAATTGTTGTGCACTGCGAGGCGCTCTCTGCCATTTGCCGCAGCTCGGCTTCATTCGCTACTCGCACAGGAGCTGCGTTGATGCAAAACGCGTTCGTAGTCCTTCGACTTGGGACATGCTGCACCTGCAAAAGGAAGCGTTTCATCAGCAGAAGTGGCGCTCGACTGCTGCTCCGAGGCACCGGCTTCACCATGGCCAAGCTTGGCTCCGGCGGCACCACGGGCGGCGGCGGCCTGTACGGAGATGGCGGCCCGGATGCATTTGCAAGGCGACAATAGGCGACCGGTAACTCAGCGAATCCACTCTGCTGCATCGTGATGGTGCTTGGCGAGACGCGTGCGTGCGGGGCTTCCAGAGGCACGTACTTCGCCGACTCGATCACGAAAGCTGATGAGTATGCTCGGCGCAAGGCAGTGGGCAGTGTGTCAGCGTGTCTTGCACCCACCAGCTGTTGCATCAAGTCCAAGTCTTCAATCTGCAAGTACTATAAAAGGCAATCCTACCCCCGCGCACGTGGCAGGTGGAGAAGGGTGACTTCGCTGGATGTCGAGTTGCAGCGATCTGCCGAGCACGCAGGGTTGCAGCATGCTGGCAGCTTTTCGAAACGTCTCGTGATGGGTAGAGCGGTAGAGCTGGCAAGGTAGCTGGAAGGAGACACGGCATCTTGAGCTTGTGCCGCGAACGGACAGGTACTGGGCGGTCGGCATTTCTACATGGACAAGGCTGCTCTGTCCTAGCCACCTTGCAGCGGCGCGCAGTGCAGACACGTCGACCTGTTGAGGATGTCATGGAGAAGGACAAGCCCAAGTTTGCCAAGAGAGTAGCATACCCGGTAAACATAGGAACACAGTCCAGAAGGTTCAAGCACCTGTGCCGCTGAGCTAGGTGCTCGAAGGACATTACAACAGCACCGTGGGAGACCGCCTGAAGGTGAAGAACACCTTCAGGCCGGGCAGATGAAAATCCCTGGCCATCCCAGCACCGTTTTGCTCGAGCCGTGCCAGGGAGTACGTGGCCTACGATGCAGCAGCAACCTACATGGAGACTGGGCTGAGAGCAAAGCGACGCTTTTAGAGACGGTCCTACTGTTCAGTCAGATGCAGCCTGGAGTCTGAGGAGTATCTCATCTACTACCGGCGCAAAGGCCGGCCTGTCCATGCTCTCCACTCTTCATGCAGGTGTTGTGAATAGCTTTGCTGACATCAGGTGTGCCGGCAAAGCACGAGTGATAGCAGATGGAGAAGCCTTTATGCTCACGGCGACGCTGTGCAGTGCGCAAGAGTTTTAGTTCCTTGCCTCTGCCCAGTGCCCTCTGCCCGGAGCCCCCATCCTGATGTGTACAGTCATCTGTGAGATGCGGGTAGCTACTGTAGACACGGAGCGGCTGCACACGCCACACCTCTGTGGCGCGCTATCGTTTATCCGAAGCAAATCGGGGCTCCCTCGCATGCGCAGGCATGACTCTGTGTTCTTCAGCAGATAAGCCCTGGCGCCAGGAGGAATTGCCAAGTCCTGTACTGCAACGGAAAGAGCAGGAAGCCCAGGAGCTGCAACTCAGAGCAGAAGTCGACCGAGGCTGGCCGCAGCGAAGGCTTTCGATCATCAGTGTCCAACACGCTGCATAGTACTCTACAGGGCCGCGCGCGCTGCACGAATGCGAGCCAATGTATGTGGGCAACCCAACACGCAGAGACAGAAGACAGGCAGGCAGGCAAACTAGCAGACAGACAAGCTTTCAAGCCATTGGCATTGACACTGTCCAGAGACGTTACGAGGAAAGCAGGTCTACAGTAATCATCCACAAGAATAACCGCTGGGCTGCAAACGACAAGCTTAATACCGGTCCATGGTTGGTTTCTGTTGCATGAACGACCGATTAAACACTTGGAAACGAGTGCTCCGTGACGCCGTCAACGGCACTATCAAAAGCAGTAAGGCGTGTGCCTGACCCGAATGCTCTGCGGGCATACTAGGCATAATGTCTGGCAGCTTGGGAGCTTCCTTGCACGAGGCCGAATCAAGAGTCCTGGGTGCAATCTGACAACCACTGGCAGCCTTAGCACTGGCGGTTCTTTCCACACACGCACTCACACGCACTCACACGCCCACGCACACATGCAAACATACATTCACGCTTGACGACTACTTCCTACTTCTGTAGACCTCTGAGAGGTATTATATGCCCCGGACATGTCTAAACCACACTGAGGCAAACATTGCAATGCGTGGTGAAATTATGGTACTAGCAGGGCAGGGGCTTGTAGATGAATTAGGTGCTGCCAAGAAGCACTTCTTGGTAGTAGGAAATATGCAAGATCTGAAAATAACAAGGCAAAATCCGCGAGGGGAACGACGGATTGGCAAGAACTGAAGATTCAAATGGCGGAATGTGGCAAAGACTTTGTTGCCTGTCTAGAAGAAGACAGGTGGAATGATTACTTCTCTTTGAATTTTGTTGCTATGGCTGATAGCTGCAACCCATCTGCCCTCTCCGAGGTGCGGCCAACTTGACAGCTGGCGAGGCTCAGCTGGCCTATGTGAGCATGAGGGACCGCGGGCATCAGATTAGGAGTCGTCAAGTTAGGTTCTGCTGTAGCTGCAAGTACTTGAACCTGCTTGGGTTTACAGGCAGCCGTTTGACTGGCGGAGATTCTTTTCGTAATTAGGTCGGCTAACTCGACCTCAGAAGTAACTGTACGGCTGGGTCACTTGCTTCCGTTGTCTGTGCGAGGTCTATGCAAGTGGAGTTCACCACTTCTGCCGGTACGACCGAACATTCAAGGAGGCTGGCCTTTTGCATTTGGGTCTCCTGCTGACGGGAGTCCTGGAGCGAAACTGAAATGCAGCGGGATTCCCACCACCGTTGCTGGTAGCCGTCCATGCCGCTTGGATTTCCCAGTGCGCAAGGCAGACCCAAAGTTTGGTTTGCACGACGACGTCGGGCGCCGAAGTGTGGTACGGTAGTGGCATCGAAGTACGAAGAGGGACGTGAGCCTGCTCTGCGGCACTCCACGTTACTTCCTTTCGCTGCAGGATGCTGGCTGTTCCCACCCGGACTGCTGTGTCCAGGCCCAGTTCAGGGCCTGGTGCGATCAAGGAAGCAATCAGCAAACATCGTTGCAGGCAAGAACTAGCCATGAAACTGAGCTTGTTTGTGTTGTTTGTGGACAATGTGTGAAAGCGGTAGGTGAGCCTGTGCATGCCATGGTCCACCCACGTCTTTACATGCCTTCACGGAGGAACGAAGCGCTTTCGTTCTGCACTTTGACAGCCCCAGCTTCACGGAATGGCCAGGGGCCCATCTTGGACTGCCGGCGCGCTGTTTCGAGACGGGCAATCCCAGGCGGGACAAGTTCGCCCTGCGCGCAAAAGCCTCAATGACGGAATTGGACGAAGAGGACATCATCACCGTTCAAAGTCGCTTTCATCTCGCAACCATGCTGCGCCTCCCTCACTTCTCGTGTGCAGCAGAGGAGATGCAGCTCTTCCCTTTCAAGAAGGCATCCGGCATGACACCGTAGTTGTTCTCTGAGTTTTGCCATAAATCCGTTCGTCATCATGGAGAGGGGATAGGTTTCTGTCCGGTCTTCCGATGCCAGGCCTCAGTCCAGGCTTTCACAAAAGCCGAGAAGGCCAGGACCAGGGGCCAGTCTCGTTGAGATGACTTCGAGACGTAAGAGTCGAGGATCTACCATTGTGCAGGCGGCAAAGCAGAAGCAAATCTACCGCCACTGGCGATGTCTGCCTGGACGCAAGGCTGGCTCGACAAGTGTGCAACGCACAGAAGTCGTGCTTCACATGCGAGATAGCTGCAAGGAGGATGAATTTCATCCCAGGCCCTCAAATCCTGATGCGGATTGCAGTGTTCAGTGAGCAAGATTGCTTCCTGGGTGTCTCTGACAGAGTTCAGAGTCTTCAGAAGTCAGAGCTTGGTGTGCTGTGAAACGGGAGGATCACCGGCGCTAGCCTCGAGGAGGAGTTCCAGCGCCTGCTTTCCCAGGTGAAGTGCCGTGGGTCCTGCGTTTGCGCTTTGCGGGGTGTGCTTTGAAACTTGGGCGGGGCCAGGTGCGTGGGGGCCACGCTTTGTGAGCCCGGACCAGAGCGGCAACGAGCAAGAAAAGAGCCGCAAAGTCGCAGGGTCCAAGCGAGACTACAGGCTTTGTTGAGATGCAAGCAGCAAGCCTTTGCGTTGCTGCGCTGGCTCACGTCATACGGCATTCCACAACACAGGCGAGTAGCCCTACATATCTTGCCGCATGTGGCCATAGGAGACAAAGGAAGGAGGGAGGTTTACATCGAGAAAAGATTGATTGTCATTCCACATCAGCCACACCAGGGTGGTCACATAAATGCCAGAGCTTGCATACAGCATTCAGAGCTGCTCACTGTTTGTCAGTCCAAAGCTATACAGATCTCTACCCACATTTGCGCACCGGTACTCCAAGCTTGTGGCAGGCTTAGTTGAGGCTTTCAGACGGGGAAAATAAGAGCGGCGTTTGGTGCTTCCAAGCCCAGCCCTGCCATGGACGACCGGCTCAGCAGCCGTCAGGCGACATTCGACAAGCATCCGATCAAGGGCGTCCTATAGATTTTGTCTTCGTGGGCAGCGGCATGTTTCTGTACGTTCAGGGGGCTCGACGGCATTCCCTCCATGGGGCACAGACCTCAGTGAAGCCTTGCGGCTAATGCAGTCTGAAGGATGCTCTTCGAAGCTATGTGAGGGTTGTCCTCGGAAGTCCGATAAAGGGAACCATGGAGCAAGTGCTGCAGGTGTGGTCTTTGCACTCCAAGAGCTCATCACTACAAGTCCTCTGCCGTCTCTCCGACTGCGCAAGCTGTCGGGAAGAAGGTGGAAGGGTGGTTTGGATAGAAGTTCGAGCAGAGGCATCTTTAGTCGCGTGAGATTGCGCGAGCAACTGCCTAGCTTAGGAGGCGTTACGGAGAACACCGAAGCTGCCGAGCTGAATCGCACTGCCGGATGCGATACTGAGAGCTCCTGCTACAGGCCTCCCTCGCAGATGCAGCGCCGTCGCAGCAGGATGCGCGTGATCGTTGTGAGTTCAGCACGCATCTTTCTGTAAGCTCTCCCCCCACGTGGACGGCCAAAAGTGATGCAAGCGCCGAGTGGGTTTGACAGCCTTGGAAACCGATGGTTGGCGGTGCAGGATTCCCAGCATGCCCTGCCCAGCACTCGGTCACGGCCAGAATCCTGGCGCGCGCGGTGCGAAGAGGCGCAAAGGGGACTGGTTTGAGCTGGGTTCTTGCACAAGGCGTTCTGCATTCGCGCAGCCCTGCTGTGAGGCCAAGCCAGAAGCTCCTGCGGACAGGCCGTCTGACAGCTGCGCCTCTCGCGGTCTCGGCATGTTGGAAATTCGATTGCTGCATCGTCTGAGCCAGGTCCGAAGGCCCGCGTGCCGCTGCCGAAGCCGAAGCCTTCGGCTCCGAGGCGCGACGAGATCCCGAGACATCCCGGAAGCTGCATGGACGCATGCTGTGGCCATGTGCTATGCTGCTATGCCTTTGCTCGCGAGAGGCTCCGGCTTTACCTGGGGTTCTGGTGTCGTTGACCCAGACGACATTCCGAAGCACCGCCTAACCTCGTTACGGCCGGTCTCGCCAAGGCAGCCGGCAGCGGAGGTTGCCGTCGCGAAGATGCCAAGCGAGGCCCAGGCGAGGCCAAGAGTCCAGTTCGGGGAGGTGCAGTAGAGAAGTTCTTTCTTCCCGTGGCCCGTTGTCCTACGCAGGAAGGCCCTCTCGTTCTCGAGGGGCCATCCACTGCAAAGCGGCACGAGGCGAATATCGCATTGCCGGCAAGGAACATGCAAATCATGTGCCAGGTGCCTGGCTAATTAAGCACTCCCTCGCAACATGCGAGAAAAATCCCACTCTCACCGAAGAGAGAGAGAGAGAGAGAGAGGGGCAACCCTCGGTCGTAGCCCTGGCGAAAGAAAGAGAGAGAGAGAGTAAGTTCGGCGCTGGCTTCCTGGAGGCAACTAGGCCTCGGCCGGAGGAGGCGGAGCCCGCGGAGGCTCCCAGCGGCGGCCTGGACTGGGAGATGGAGGCCGCCAGCTGAGCTCTGCTCTGTGCCCTAAACCCTAAACCCCTAAACCCCTAAACCCTAAGCCCCCTAAACCCCTAAACCGCCAAGCCCCCGAACCCCTAAACCGCCAAACCCCCAAACCCCTAAACCCCTAAACCACGCTGGGCTCTCCTCGGCTTCTTCCAGGCGACGCTGCCGGCGCTTGCCGCCCAGCTCCGGCGCGGGGAGGCGCCGGAAGAGTTCCGAAGAGCCCTAGAGAAGGAGGCTTTTGCTTCTGGGATAGGGTTTAGGGTTTATAGGGTTTTATATGGGGTTTGTAGGGTTTGTAGGGTTTATAGGGTTTATAGGGCTTTAGGGTTTCAGGGTTTAGGGTTTAGGAGGCCATACATTCAGCTTTGCGGGATCCCGAATCTCCAGCATGGTGGGTGTGCAGTGTTGCCGGGTGTTTCGATTTTCCACCGGTCACATGCACTAAGATATCCGATGTACGTTGCGTCGATTAGGTCATTGAACCGCCTGACGAATTGCTCAACTTTCTCAGTGTTATGCGATTTTGTCACGGGGTCGTGCTTTGCACGTGCCTTCCTTTTCGAGGTCTCTCTGTGCAGCTTCCGATTTTTGCAAGTGTCCGCCTGCATTTGTTTTTGCGTTCTTGTGTGCTGTTGCACTGTTTTTCACGCTTCTGTATTTTGGTTTCAATTTTTTTGAATGCGTTGTGTGTCCGCAGTTGCCTTTTTTTTGTGGGTTTCCGTGTGCTTTTTATATGGTGTTTTTTTGCGGCGTTGCCTGATCTTGCGGGTTTCCATTCGCCTGTTTTTCTGTGTTTCATTCATCTCCCAAAATCCCAACAGGAGATAGGATGCGGACGACCTACTCTTAGCAGTTCGGGAAGGCGGCCGCGACCAGTAGTGCGAGGCGGAAGAAGGCAGCGGTGGCAAGCGCCTTACCGTAGGTTGACTTCAGTGCAGACCGTCGAAACTGGATTTCTTGTGTCGCGTCGGAGTTACAGCGGGGACTTGAGGGTCTGCTCTGCCTTGCACGTGGTTGCAGCTGTGCAATCTGATGCCGAGATGTGCTATGTGTGCAGTGGCTGGCCCCAGGCACCAGAATCCAGTTGGCAGGTGGAGGAAGCTGAGGCGCTGCGAGAAATCACCCGCCCATGCCGTAGAGAGCAGTGCAAGATAGCATATCAGTTATCAGGCTCAGCCGTCCTTGCCGGCTCCGCCAATCTCACCGGCAGCACAGGCACAACACTACATGTTGTATCTACATGAATTCTACATAGCCCGCAGAGAGGTCTGGCAAATGTGGGTGACGTCACATGACCCTCTCTGCTTTCCAAGATGTGCGCACAGCCAATTCGGCGCAGAAAGCTTTTTGTCTTTCGCATGTTCTTGTCCCCAGGATAAGCAGGCTCGCACCCCAGCAGTAGGACCAGCAAAGCTTGCCGTAGGACACCTTTGCAGAATCTGGCATGCTACGACGAAGTCCCAGTTTCAACAAGTGGCAATTTCGAGCAGCATTGGGCGAACTTGGTAGTTTGGCTAGCTTCTTTTTTTTTTGGGGTGGGGGTGGGGTAAAGTCTTTCTCTTGCACCTCCATCGAGTCCGTCCGCGGGCCAAATGCAGTGGACGACTGCTCTGAGATTCTTGAAGAGCCTGGGCTGAAGAGCCTTTGGTCGCAGTGGGAGCTGTGCCGCAGGCATCTCCTGCATGGCAAACATCAACGAGCGAGGCCGAAGAAGTAGAGATGTAGAATGCATTAGAATGCCTTGCATCGGAGCTGAACCCGCTGATGTGCGCAGGCATCGCTCCATCTGCCCATATCTCACGAGACAGGCTCATCACAGGCGGTTTCCGTCCCATGCAGAGCTTCTTGTCCCAAGCACGACCCGTATATACAGCGTCGCAGACGCGCCCTAGAACAGAGAGACCACCGTAGGTCTGGAATTTGACCTTAGAGCAGTTCGATCAGATTCAGCGGGCGGAAGTCCTGACGGCAGATATAGGCTAGAACTTGATACACTGTTCTGGAAGACAACCGGGAGTTTACTTTCAGTGAACCAGTTTGAAGTTTCGTTGCGTTTTGTCTGTCGCAGACGTCAAAGTCGACCTGGAAGCTGGAAGAGGCGGGTGGGCAAGAAGCATACCTAGTGCTCAGTGGGGTGGTGGCATCAGAGCGGCGTCCGGTGACCACCAGTCCGAGATTTTGGAACCGGCTGCAGGCTGACATCTTCTCTCCACTTGCTCATGCCATTGAGACCGAGAAGGCGGACACATCGGTGTTGTGTGTATTTTAGCGTGTCAGCTGCTGGAAATGCAAAGACTGAAGTGTGGCTCTGCGACTTCCGCGGCTTACCTTTTCGTGGGCATGGCTGCAGGCAGCAGACGACAACTCGCCCTTGTCCGAGCCCATGGTGCAGACTCTCCCGAAGGCGAGAATGAGAATACGAAAGCCCTTTAACTCGTGCCGGTGATTTGTTTGGTGGTATCGAGATTCGGGTTATCTGCCGGGGGCCGGCTCACTGATGCTTGTGATCTTTGTGGATTCGGGCACCAGGAGTCTCCGGTGAGACCCCGCACATCGTGACTGTCTTCCTGATTGCATGTGGCGATGAGTGCAGTCACGACCTGCCAGCGCCAGGCACCGGCTTTCCCGTCAGACGTGGAGGTGTCCACGAGCACGCAGCCTCTTGGTTTGCATCCGGCAAGACCTGTGGTTCAAGTGCACGAGATGCGGTGGCTGCGCGCTTGTGAGCCGTGGGATGTGAGGCTGATGCTTCTGACTTGGGCCCGATGGGGCCGCAATGCCTGGCGAATCAAGCAGGAAGACCAGATCAAGCAGCTTCAGCACAGGCCTCGCACGGGAGAGCGATTGGGTTCAGCACACTGAGTACACTTGCGAATGCTAGTGGAGGCGCTTTCCTCGCACGCCCGCGCCACCGCGAGAGCCCTTGTCCCCACAGCCGACACCACGGTCGACGCCGCGAGAGTCGCCCGAGACGGAGACCCCAGGCTCCCGAAATCGGGGGGGGGCCCTGGGAAATTGTAGCACGTGATGCGTGGATTCTTGGACTTGGAGGCTCGTCTCCCGGGAGTTCCCCTGCCTCGTCCTCGCGGCCGCGGACGGGAGCGGCAGCCTGGAGAGCCGGTGGCGAGTTAGGCGCACAATCGACGCGCTGGAGCTCCCTATTTCCTCTTACAAGAGCCTTCCCTTTGCAGGCATGGGCACCACCGTCCACAGCCGAGAAGGGCGCGAGGTCCGGGAAGGCCGCGACGACCGTGGCTTCGCCTTCGCGGAGTTGCGAGAGGCCCATTTGCCATCAACAAGTCCCGGGCTGCTCGCGCACAGTGAGCTCTGTAGCCGGCAGGAGCAGCGAGATTCCATGGCTCAGCAGGGTGCCAGGCCAGCATGAATCATTAATTGTGTGTTTCTGCGATGTTCTACAAGAGTTGCCAAACAGATCATGCAATCATCGTGGGAGGACAAAGCTCGTCCGTGCTTTGGGCGGAAGTGCCGCCACTGCTCACAGCACTGGCACCCCTGGCTTTGGTGTCGCACCTTGGTAGCCAGAATCTGGTGCTGCGATGTTGAAGATGAGTTTTCAGTGCAGGTTCGTGCACGTGTGGGCACAGCTTTGTCGATCCCTTCTTGAGGACACACCGGGCTTCCCAGGGGCAAGTGGTGCGGCTTCTGCGGATGCATCGGTTGTGAGCAGTGGCGTGGCGAGTCCGGTCAAGGCCCAAAGGGCGGCCGTAGAGTGTTTCGAAGGGGTCCGCGTTGTGTTCCGAGCCAGAGGGTGTTAGAGGTGAAGGGATCTGCTCGTGGGTTCTTGACCCAAACCCCTACTTAAAGGCATCTAAAGGCCCAAAAGACCTTGAGAGCCAAAGCCCTGAAGCCTTCAGAGAGGGATCTCCAGTCTGGAGCGGAAGCCTTGGCTCCTTGGTCAGGGCGGCCAGATGTCCCCTTGGATCCTGGAGGCGGAGGCTCTCTGCGAGGCGCAGTGAATCCTCGGAAGACTGCAACTTGAGCCAAGCACGACGGGGTGCCTCTTCTAAGAAGTGACGCCTGTATTGCAGGAAACCGACGAGGATGTTTCTCCAGGAGGCGGAGGAGGCGCTTTCCCTTGCTTCTCTCTTCGCCTTTCTTTCTGAGACTAATCCGAGTGGATTCGAGTGGAGTTCTGAAGTTCGAGAGTTTTCTGCATGGCAGGTTGGAGCCTGGATCCTGGGCTCCCTTCTCAGTGGAATTTGGGGTGAAAACAGATCCCGCTGGAAGTCCTGAAGCAGAGGTCTGACAACCTGCTCCTCAGCATCGAAGAGGAACTCCGGCAGCCTCGCAAAGAGAAGGTGGAGGAGCACCCGCAGCCCACAGAGCCAGCGGTGCAGGCGCTCCCAGAGCGCATTGCACCATCATGCATGTGCGACACGAAGACTCCCCATGATGTCGATTGTCTTGATCCGACCAGAAAATGAAGCCAGCCCGCTTTACAGCGGGCTACGGGGGGCATCCTTGTCAGTGTGGCTGATCATATTGGTAGCATATCCGCACATTGCCCAGTATCAGGCCAATGATGACCAGGTCTTGGACGAGGATGAGCTGCAACGGGTGGAGATGTCCGAAGCTCGTCCTTTGCCTTTCGCCGGTCGTTCACGGGATGCAGACATGCCGAGGTTTGAGGAAAGCCCCAGCAAGAAGTCGGCACAGGCATCACAGGCCGGCAAACCTCGGATTCGGGAAGCGATTCTGGTCTGGAGGAGCAGAGTTCGCCTGCCCACGATGCCGCAAGAGCTGCTGAGGAGAAGCTGCCCGCCAAGGCCAGAGAAATTGGAAGCCATGCTTGTAATCCCTCACCCCTTCTGCATCATCTGCATAAATAGACCGTGTTTCTTGGCTACAGGACGATTCGGCGCATCAGCCCTTCGAGCCACTCGTTTCGCAGTCTGGTCCGTAAGCGCTGTCCAGTCCTCTGCTGAGGTACATGGTGGGCGAGAAGGTCTCCTACTATTCCAGCTCTCACGGGGCCTGGATGCCGGCTCGTATCGTGGAGCGAAAGAGCAGGAGCGGTCTGGTCCGAAGACGGCGTCGAAAGCACGAACATGCCGCAGCTAAAGTCTTCGGTTTCGCTTGTACCGCTGATGCCGTGCAAGGGCAAGCTTCGGCAAGGGAGCAGTCGATTCCACGCAGGACTATCTATGTCATCGACAAGCAGATGCGCGGCTGCTTGGCCAAGGCCACCACGTTGTGTTAAGAGCAGGGTGATGCCGTATTGACAGACAGCAGCTTTAGCACTTTAGCATGATCCTTCCGAAAGGTCCGTGCTTCGGAGCTGGTCTCCGAGAGGGAGGAGGAGAAGAACCCGGTTGGGACCCCGACTGTGCCGCTAGCGCTTTGACAGAGCAAACCCACGAACTCTGCAGGTTCTGCGAGCTTTCGACGTTCTGGAAGTCCGTGCTCCTTCCAACCGACCAACCAGGCCGACGAGTGCGACGAGGCAAGGAGTCTCTGCGAAAGCCGAAGTAGGGGTTGAATTCCGGATTCGGTGTTTCGGCTAGTCGCCGTCAGGCTGCAAACGTAGGTTCAAAAAGGACCGGAAAGTGCACTGCGCTCTCCTCCGCAGGAGCGGCTCGAGTCCGAAAGGTCGCCTGGGCCCTGGGACCGTGCAAGGCACTTCGGCTTTGACGACGGAGCGTGTGTTCTGATGTGTTCTGTTCAAGATTCTGTCCTCCTGTCTCGTCGCCGTCTGTCGAGTGGCCTGATATGACATAAGTGTCGGGGACCGCTACTTGACAACACCGTTCAGGGCGAGAACGGGCTTGAATCGAAGCGTCGCCCGTTTCACGGAGGTTCTGGCAGCCCATCGGCAGCTCCCACCCGGGTGCCGGGCAACCGAGGCGGTGTTTTTTTGAGACGACCCTCGGGAAGGGCACTCCCCATTTCCAAGCAGCTATACGTTCATTGCAGGGCGCGTCGTGCGAGATGACTTCAGCGATGATTCTGATGACGGCTGAGCAGGAAGTACGTAGATGATAGGTAGCTTGCAAGACCATGCGCCGTGAGTCTGTGGGACAGTATGTGCAGCTCCAACTGGGCCTGTTCGATGGGTGCACCATGGTGCACCGTGGCCTTGGTACAACTCCAGACATGGCAGGCTGTAAGGCTAGTCCGCACTGTAGACTGCGGCACACATCAAGACCAGTCCCCCCCACATTTTGCAACTCCTGGGTGTTGGTAATGGGAGTCAGCGCCTGTTGAACTCACTGGGGTTTGCAGGGAGGTGGGGTGTGGTGGGGTGTGGTGGGGATGTGGTCAAGGGTGTGGTGGAGATGCGATGGGGATGCGGTGGGGGGCGTGGGAGGGAGATGCGGTGGGGGTAGTAGGGGGTGTTTGGTGGTAGTGGCAGTGGTAGTGTCAGGGGTGGTAATGGAATCGCCAATTTCAGTACAGTGGTAGTAGAGTAGTGATCGTGGTTTCAGCAGAAAGCCATCCCCAAATCCATCCATGTAACCAAACATTCACCCAATAAGGTATCCCCAAATGCCCACAGTCCTAACCAAAGTGCATCGAACTGCAACTCCGCAAAAATGTCCGTGCAGGCTTCCTCCCCACTCTCGGCTGGACACCTGGGGTCTTGGGGGGTGGCAGGGCGGAGGGGAAAAAGGGGGGGGGCCTGTAAAGGTGTAACAGCGAAAAGCAGCCTATTCATCGCATCAGTCTTGCTGCACACTCCTGTAACCACAGATGGCATGCAGCTGCCTCAGGAGACTTAGTAAGCACCGCCGTTCATGATACAGTACTCATGACCTTGATGTTTGACTTGCGTACTAAGTCTCCTTAGAAGACGCTTCTGCTTTTAATGTCTTTGGAGGGCCAGCCTAGTTGGCCATTTCCATGCAATCAAAGTTGACCCTCGGCTGAGGAACAGGCCAGGATCGCTTTGAAGAATTCAATGTGCCGCAACTCTGGATAGCTCTTGCTCGCAATGTTCCAATAAGAGGCTAAGAGGTGATTAGTTTGGAATCCTCGATTGCTTAGCCTCATTGGTGTGTCAATCGAATTGTGCGCTGCGTAGGAGTGTGCTTCATAGCTGCTGGAGCTCCATACAGATCCTTTAAGGATGACTGGCGCTCAGTGCAAGAAAAGCGGGGATGCGTCCAAGTGGGCAGGTCGGACTCCGTCGGCCAGGGATGGGCAAGACAAGAAGGGGGAGAGGTCGGCTTGGCGCAGGAGCTTGAAGAGGATGAAGAGGTGACGAGATGATGTTAAAATAGGGGGAGGGGGCGTGATAAACAGCACGTCTTTTCACATCTTTCGTTGGTCCCTGAAGCGCTCCTTGATGTGAATCCCTGACACGCCGGTTTGGTCTTGCCACGCAGGGGTGCGACGCGGGGAAGCCACGATGTTGGAGTCTTGGTATGAGTCGGTTTTTAGCGTCCTGTCGGAAGCTTCTCAGCCTTAACAGCGCACTCCAAGCTTCAACAACCGTCCCTTTGGGCTGTGGGTTCAAGCCGCCGAGCCGCCGCTGCCGATGACATGGTGACGCCAAGGTGCGTGAAGGGACAGTGTGGCAGAGTTTTCGTCATGACTGGTTGAGGCCGCTTCAGCCGGCAGTGCTGCGGAAGCGAATCCTTTGGCTTCCCGATTCCGTCAGGGTCACAGCGCAGCAGTGCCCGGCAAAAAGAGTAGAAGGTCTTAAAGTCTTTTGAATGCTGCGCTTACAGCACGCCAGCAAGATGTTTGTGCACGGCATCAATTGGTCCACTATTTGTGCCCATTGCCATGAATCCATCAGGATGACGACGTGGAGATCCTCTGCGTCAAGGGGCCGCGAATCGAGATAGTTGCCTGGCTGCAGACCACACCTATGTTTCTTGCCGACGCAGCAGTTTCCTGGGATGCACAAGTGCTTGCCCCAGTCCATCTCCGATGGCGACTTGACGAAATAGCCCGAAGAAAGCAGAACTGTCCAGGACCTGGTGACGCCTCCACGCAGTGCTGCTGTGCATGCCACGCCTCCACCAGCTGCGCTGGAAGCGTCTGAGCAGCAGATGGCCAGGGCCGCTGGAGAGTTGTTGGTTTATTACGGGCAGCATGGAGCTTATGACTGCAGCATCTAACGTCTCCGGCCGAGATCTGCAACGCAGGATCCCGAACAACATGTACCGTACGTCACGCTCCGCAAAGATTCATGCCAGGTCTGGGCAGATGCTGTCAGCCAAAGCCCAAAGGCTTGGAAGCCCGTGCATTTGCGAGCGCAACGGACGGTTCTCCCTCCCTTGAGATGTCGGCCTACAGGCGTCCCCCCTTGTCAGAACAAAGACTAGGGCACGCTTGGCTCCACTAAGCCGACTTAGCCTGATCGACGAAACAGGCATGCGGGGGACTTTCGGTGTGCTGCCAGTGTGCCAGGTTTATAAGTATCCATGCAAGATCTTGCAACGATGCACTGCCTGAGTTGCAGTACCGTCGCAGGTGAAGGCCGAGAAGCCGGAAGAGGTGGAGCTTCGTGGGGTGAAGCGGGAAGTGACTCAGCCTACTCAGCCTGCGCGGAGTAACACCGTAAAGCTCTTTCCCTGTTTCTAACGACGATAACGAGTGTAAGCAATAAGGCTCTTGGATCTTGCTAGCAGCTCAAAGGATGCCCGATGATTGGGCTCTTGCAGACCTGAGGTTGACAGCCCGCCGTGCACGCCACCCCGCAAAGTGCCTGCAGCTGCGAGCTTGGCCATGTTCCCCTTCAGGACAGCCGGGGTTGCTTTTGAGGCCAGGGGGCTAAACCCTAAACCCTAGACGCCCTAAACTCTAAACCGGGAAAGGGAGAACGTTGGGAGAGGACGCCGCCCCGCCTGCGACGCGGCTTTCAGGTTTGCGGCTACCTCCAGGCCAGGCAATTTCCAGGGGTGGAAGCCAGGAGAGGCCAGGAGTTATGTAAGAATTTAATATTATATTCTGTAATAAAATATAATTTGATATAATATAGTATGATCTAATATAATTTGATATAATATAATTTGATATCATATAATATGATATAATATGACATAATATAAGGCCCCAGCGCCGGGGTGTTCGTCCTTTGCCCGAGACTGCTTTGACGAGGCCCGCACATGCGATCTCCAGATGCGCGAGCGCTTGCGGTCGTGTCGCCCCAAGCCGCGAGGCCTCTTGTGGGGTCCAATCGCCGAGTCCATGAAGACTAGACATTCAGTTTCAGGCCTGTCTGCCGTTGATGTTCCTGTACTGAGTACTGAGGCTGCTGTGTCAGGGCTGGCCGAGCTCGGGTCTTAGCAAGTGGAGACCCGCTTGCTGAGTTTGTTTCTTTGCTCGCAGCTCAGGTCCCAGCCCCAGCGAGGCCGCAACGCGCGAGTCCATCGCCGAGCTTCTGGGCCCGGTGACCCAAACTCTCCAAGGTCCCGAGTTGCGGTGGGCTGTTGCTTCAAGTCTTCTTAAGCTTGGACGGTGTACTGTCAGGAACGCATCAGCAGTTGCCTTTGCATTCCTGCTTGGCCCGGTTGATGTTCATGTCAGCTGCACTTCGATCCAACAGAGGTTTTAATGCCTCTGTTGGCTTCGACTTGGCCCTAATTTGCCAGAGGTTTCCCGACCTTCCTGAGTGTCAACTTTGCAGTGCGGCGCCCATCTCGCCCAAGGGCTCCCTAGACACCCCAGGCCTTTGCCCATCCACCGGCAAGCCTGGCAAGCCGGGCGCCGTGAAGGCAAAGATCCGATTGATGCGAAGCCTGATCGACGCGTAAGCAGTAGATAGATATGGGACTTTCCGAAAATTCGGGTACCTTATTTTGGGGGTCCTTGTCTTAACAAGGATCCGACTATTTAGGGTACTATATTAGGGTCCCCTATTTTCGGAAACCCCCATATCTTCTCGCTTTGCTCGAGGCAGCCACCTACCTGGCCTGGGCACTAGCAGCAGCCCCAAATCTGCAGACGAGCTGCCCCTGTCGAGCTCGAGCTGTCTGTGCTTGGGATGCGCAGACCATGCCTTCCATAGTCCCTTCTACAAATTCTGCCCTTCTACATCCCCCAAATACATATACCCTGTTGGTCTCATCGGCGCCGAGGCCGACGGCCGAGGAGCGGCCCGGGCCCGGGGGAAGCTCGTGGGAGCGGCGGTCCTCAGCGTCTACAGGCGGAAGATCAGAGAAGCGAGGGAGCGAGGGTGCCGGCCCTGCGTAGGTTTCGTCGGTGCAGTGCAATACGTAGCTGTTGCTGCCTTCGTATCCTTCGTTGACGCCAGACGTTGCGTAGCCGTTTCACTTTGCAGGTTTGCAACCTCTCGCAAAGACACTCCGTAGCCGCGGCTATCACCTCCCTACCCTTGATTAAATCCGACCTGGGCCATCGAGATGCCGCCAGAGCGCCATGGCAGACGAAGACCGTCCGGCCACAGCTGAAGAGGCCCTGCTAGTGGTCGTGATCTTCGACCACTCAGACTGCGGAACGTCGCAGGAGACTGCGGAATGGCACTTCAAAGCCCCGGCTCTGGACGCTTAGCAAAGTCTGAGTCAGCGATGGTGTTCGGAGAGCCTCAAGCAAACCAAGGAGGCTGAACTGGCGAAGCTTCGTGCCCAGCGTGAGGCACTGCGCCAGGAGGAAAGCTCGCAGGGAGCTTTGACAGCCTCAATGCGCTGCATGATGAATGACTTCCTCAAGAATGAGAGGAAGCTAGTGTTTACAGAGCTTTTTTCTTGAAATGTGTGGAGGGTTTCAGTGCTTTGAGAAGCAAGTTTATGACATGCCTTTGTCTTCGCCGGGTGCTCGAATCTTCTTCAAGCAGACCATAACGCTTGCTTTGCCACCTTCTGCCCACCGACATAGTCAGGTGGGTGCTGGCCGAAGCCACCGTATCATCAATAGCATTCCGGGCAGCAGTCACGGCCAGTGCACCACTCAGAGGAGATTGCAGCCCTCCGCCGGCGCGACGAAACCGTGGCGGAGGGGAACCGGCCGGGGGCTCTCAGTGGCATTCTGTTCTTCTCCATCGCCCTTCCCTTTTACTTACTCCGTGGCTCTTTCGCCGGCCAAGCGAGGCGTGAGCAGGAGCTGCTCGACGGGGCCGCCGCGGCCGAGGCGCAGAGTGCACAGCCTCCGTGCCGCGCACGCAGAGACGTCGAGACGCCCGGGTCACCGCAGGGCGCTCGGGTCGCCGAGTTCGCCGCGCTCCGGGAGCGGATGGGCGAGGCGAGGCCCCCCCGAAAGTTCGCGCAGAGTTCCGAAGGGACATGTGGCGATGAATGGCAGGTGAAGGACCAGGTGGAGGACTCGCCTTCTTGCTTTCGTCCCCCTGACCGTACGCCATCCCAGACCCCTGGAAGGGTCGGAGGCCGATCTAAGACTCGACGGCCCACAGGAAGTTGACAACGAAATCGGTTCAAATTTTCAAGTGAATCAGTTCCTCAAGGACACCTTGGCGGAAGCCGTGACGACCTCAGTTGATTGAACCGGAATGTGCATTAAGGACGAGAGCCCTTTTAAGCTCGCTTCTCTGTGACAGCGCATCAGGAAGAGAAGGAGCTCGCCCTAGCAGAGGCCCGCACCAGAGCTTCAGGGACTTCGAAGGTGTTCCGATCACAGGTGTTCTTGTGCTCATTTGTGCTCAGGAATGTCGGGGTCTCCGTGCCGAGCGCATCGAAACGGAGAAGGGGCTTCGCGAGGCGACGCCATGACAGACTCAGCCGCACGGAGCTTCTTGGGCAAAAAGGAAGCCGCGAAGCTCCGGGCGGTGACGCGGCGCACGGAGGAGCTCGAGGACATCGTGAGTGTTCTTCTGGAAGGTAGTCTTGGTTTCAGTAGGCAGTGCTGAGAGCACGACGGCTCACGCCATGTTGTTCTTGGTGCAAGTGGAACGTTTATAGCAAGTTCTTGTCCGGAGTGTTGATATGTTGCGTGCCTTTGTGCCTCTGGCCGAAGCACCTCTCCCATTCTTGGTCTTTCATTCTGAGGACGCCGAGCGAGAGGAGCTTCGGCGCATGGCTGCGGCGCACGCAGCTGTTCGCGAGGCCGAGATGCTGCACCCAGCGGTATTGGTAGATGATGTGAGTATGATGTGCCTGCTGCAATCGGCGTGGAGACTTGCATGCGCTTTTGACAGGGGCTTGTCTCGAACTAGCGGAGCCCCAGCCAACTTGTGGCCTTGTCGAGGCAGCTCGGAAGAGGAGCAAGGAGCTGCAGGCCGACACGGAGAGGGGAACTGTCGAAAGTGGTTGGGAGGTCATAACAGATACCGCAGGGCTGGGCTGTGGGGTTTCTGGCATTTTTTGGCAGACACTGCCTGGAAGGAGCAGACGGAGAAGAAAGCCAGGGAGATGAGGACACGTGAATTGCTGCGACCGGGCTGCTGATCCAAAGCAAGCGACTTCTACGCTACCCCTCGACACTCCCAGGAATTCCCAGGACTGTGCCAACAATAAATCCTTGCAGGAATGACCTGGTGGTGGAGCTGGAAAAAGTCCATGCCGAACTCAAGAAGGTCGGCTGCTATGCAACGGCTTCGCTCGAGGATCGAGCCTGCGCGCACGGCTTCCTGCACATTCGACTCGGCTGATTAAGCAGGTCTTCGCCTGTTCGACGCATGTAGGAGAGCTTGCGAGCGGTCGAAAGCTCCAGGCGAAGGAGGGCATCTACGAAGGTGTCCAAGCCGAGGTCGTCCGGCGGCAGCAGGCCAGGTCATGCCAGGTCCACAGCCGAGCAGAGCCGACACGGAAAGGTGGTGCTGACGGTAGACGACGAGATCAAGAGCATCGATAGAGCCGCACGCTTGAACAAGGCGCAGCTTTGCTGCTGTGCGCCGTTTTGTGCGCCTCGAGGTGGTGAACGAGAATCTGGAGGAGGCCAAAGACCGCGCTCGCCACTTGGAGGCGGGAAGCGGCTTAGGGAGCCCAGGGCTCGTTAAACCTGTCTCGCAGGACCGCACGCATCGGCTTATCCTGGAGACCCAGGCGAGATGATGTCCAGACTCGATTGTTGGCCTAGCAGTAGAACTTGGGAAATCTGGCGGCCAATTGCAGGCAAGAGACTTCGCATTGGAAACGAAGCTGTGTGACCACGTTGCCCGAGCAGCCGGGAGCTTCAGAGCGGTTTCGACTACATCCCTGATCTTGTTGGAGCCTTCCTTGAGGAGCAGTTAACTGCTTGCAGCGGCATGCAGTACTTTCTCGTAGCTTTCCTGTAGTGCTGCCAAGTCAGGTCGCTGCCCTGGAAGTGGCCTCAACGGTCAAGGCTGCTGCACTAAAACCCTTCTGGATTGAATGGGCTTGACCGCTTAAGTAGCCGTAGCTACTCTGGCCCGCATGTCATCAGCGTCGATTCAAGTTCGGTGCTTTCACAAACCCAGTCTCCGAAGTCGTGATTGAAACTCTGCGTGACACGAGGCGGGCGCTGCCGTGGAGCACAAGGACGAAAGGGGGGGGGGGTGCAAACTGCTGGAAACTCTGGGTAGCAGTCGTGCATTGAGTCTGCAGGGCGGTACCGTTGCTGGTTGGGTTTTCCGGTTTTCCGGTGCTGCTTCGGTGGGCAGAGTCCACGCATGCTGATACCAGCTATCTGACACACCTTTTCCTGAAGGATGCAGAGCGGCGGCGGCGTGGAACTGCGAAGGCCGCAGCCGTGGTGACGGATGTAATTTCGACTAGATGTCGCCAGCTGGGAATTGGTGGTAAGTTAGCCGGTTTGGCCTTTGGTTTTTTCATTCACCAATCAAGCGGGTCCTGAGTCCTGAGCCTGCTTCCTGTGCCAGGCTCTCGGAGACGTGTTTCCCAGAAGCGGCTTGACTTTCCTTGCCAAGAGCTAGAAAAGATCGCTTCGATGTTTGCGTGGCCTGAGGTACCAACTTCAACCTCGTGGGCATGCACACGGCAAAGCCGTCTGTTGGCCCGCTCCCTCTCAGCGTGGATGCTGTCCCGAATGCCTGATCAAGGACCTCCAAGCGCAGTAGCCAGACGTTACCATACTTGGAGAGCTTTCGAACAGGTTCCCTGAGGAGGCTGTTTAGCCGGCAGAGTGGGAGGAAAAATGCAAAAATGCGCCGGCTCGCTGTGCACACATGGCACGCTGCAGTGGATCCAAGCTTTCAGATGCACATACAGCACATGAAGCTTCCCACAACAGACTTAGCACAGCGCAGGTCTTTCTCTTGTTTTGTGGCCGTCTGGACAGGTATCGTGGCCGTAGGCGCTGTGGATGCTTAGAGTTGTGGCCTCGGCGAGACTTCGTCTGGGATCTGCAGATTGAAGTAGAACCTGCACGGCACACGTGATTCAAGACAGGTGAGCTGTGGCCTCGCGTGTGCAAAGGGAAATACCCGTTAATGGCATCCAGCACCACTTTCATATTACATCATTTGACATCTGCCGGCATAACCCACGCTCTCTGCCACGGTTTCTTCCGCCACGACAAAGGTTCATCACCTCCCAGCTGAGCGGCGCTGGGGCTGCGTTGCCTCCTCCCCAGAGAGCCGACCGTATCTGTCGCACTTCGCTGTTTCTCGATGGCCCGGACACTTCTCCTGGAAGTAGTCTATCTAACCCGTCTAACCGTGTGCTCATTCTAGATTGTGCTCCATTTTACCCGTGGGTCCTTGCCCAGGCTTCGGTTGGCCACCCGCTTCTTGCAGGCTCGAGACCTGTCCGAGCAGACTGTTAGCGCGCATCCGGTAAAACCTTGTAAAGGAGGGGTCTTGGCATCGCTTGGCAGGCTCATCAGATCACCCGACTCTACTCAGGCCAGAGGGGCGGGGCAGCAGTGAACGTGTCGCAAGATGTCGCAACTTCGCATCATGCAATGGTTGGAGCTGTGGGGCGCAAGCCACCGGCACTTGAGGTGTGGACCTCTCAAGGCCCAAAGCCTTCGCCACTCGGCAAGTTTAATGGGCGATCTGCGGGATGTTCTTAAGATATGCTCAAACCACGGCCATGTGAGGGAACTGCTTGTGGCGCAGGCCTGAGCAACACGAGCACAGAAAAGACATATGTATATTATGTATGCATATAAATAAACAATAAGTAAATAAATAGATATATAAGTAAAATAAATAACCAACTAAACAAATTAGTTACTTATATAAATGCTTGTATATATATATATGCTATATTATTGCTCGTATCTATTTGACTGCATGGATATCTCAACATCGTACTGTCAGAGGATCCTGCAGTGAAGCGTCCACCGGCACTGACTACTCAAGAACGGGTGAGGAGAGTCCAGCTCTCGGAGGCTACTGTATGACCATGATCCGCAGCATTTCAAAAGAACTCACCACGACAATGCCAAAGCACATTCGACGAAGACGCCACAGCCATCCTCGCCAGATCAAGATCTCGTTGAACTGTTTTCGATATTCATTGAGGAGCGTACCGAGTGGAACGGCAGGGTCCGTACATCCAACATCAATGCAATCAAGACGGCAGCTGCAGGGTACAGTGTGAATGCCATCAACAATCCGAGTATGGCAGCCGTGGGCATCAAGAGCAGTTGGAGGCTGCATAGCTCCTAGCGCTCAATGCCTCCAGTTGATTCCAGCTTTTTTCAAACTTGAGCATATACCATATACCAATCGCGGGCTCCAGCCGTTTGGCCAATGAGGTAACACGGGCGAGCCTTGCTGTCCATTCGAGCTATCGATGCGAATCCAAACTGGTCCTGTCATCCCGGGATGACATGCGCAGACATGACCGCAGCCACACCTAACCAGACGAGGAAGAAAAGACTAAAGGCGGGATAGATCGAACAAAGACGACGAACAAGTGGCAGGCCCGTGCCGAACATGCCGAACCTCGTGCTATGGCGTGCCAGGAGGCTCATCTGCGCTGGGGATTTCGTGTTGTTGAGGAGCAGGCGGGAAGGGTTCTTTCCCGAGCCAACGAGTTCCTAGAGGTTCCGGAGCCGTGTGTTGAAGACCAGACGCAGGAGTGGGCGCATGCGGGCCTTGCATTCTATCGTCAAGGCGATGTGCCGGATGCCCGGTATAGTCGTGTGTTGAGGAGCCATCAAATCCAGTATGGCAAAAGCAGAAGGACGTTGCGCACCCTTGTCCCGAAGTTGGAGAGCGTTCTCATGCGGCGCCTAAGGAGGTATATGCTTCTGGATCTGTCCGCAGATCCAGGCCGAACGGAAGATCTGTTGTGTTTGTGGAGGATTCTTGGTATGGCGCAGATAGTAACTCAGAAAGTTGGGCCCTTCAGCTTCTCATTGCCTCGAAGGTGAAGCGTTGAACGTAGAATTAAGCTGATTATTTCATTTGCCGGGTGTTGGGTTGAACCTTAACTCGGGCCCCAGGTTGAGGTGACTGTAACCCAGGTTGGAATTCAACTAATCGGCTGCTGGAAAGCTCAAGCACCTGATTGCGAGGCTTCGTGCCTGTCTTGTCGGGACCCTGCATATCTTGCAGGTCAATGTCAAGAAGCAGTTGGAGTGTAGCTGCCGCCAGCTGTCGCGCCCTTACATCCTGCGTTTTGTGCGCAGGGGGTGAAATAAAGCCCCAGGCTTCCCCCCCCCCCACACGTACACGGTTCCGAAGAGGTTTCCACCTTGTCCTACGTAAAATGAGGCCATGGAAACCCACGAGGCTCTAGTCAAGGGCTATACTGATTATGCTTGTCCTTGGCATGAGGAATATGAGACATTGGCATGGCTCACGATCTTTTTTTGTTCAGTCTTTGCTCCGATCCCAAAGAAAAGAGTAGTTTTGCATACCCTCTCAGGGAGAGTAGACACGTGCCACACTGACGCAGCAGCCAAAGGAGCGCGGAACTGTCATGCTGCCCCGATATCACAGCTCCGTTCCGTGCGGCCTGGCTCAAGACTTTCACCAGGTAGGCCGGCGCCACCATGCCAGGGGTGGTGCACGTGATGGGTGTCACACATCAGAAGCATTCCATCAATTGAACGGAGCTTCGGGAGCCACTGGCCTTAAGATCGGAACTGCTCGAGAGCATGAGATCGAAAGGCCGCCAGTCGGCCACGTATTTACTCCACAACCGCCTCGATCGAGCCCCAAAGAGTTCAAAAAAGACGGGGTCCTCTGCAGAAATGCGAGCTTAAGAGCCATGGCAGAGGCTGCTGTGGAGGCTTCCCGCACGAGCTTGGCTAGGCTTTGGCTTTGCGGACTCTTTGTGTTCAGGATGTGCTGATGGCCCCGGGCGGCAGCCTCACGGCGCTTCCGGCACGACATCTCGTAAAGCCACTGGGATCAAAAAGCCCTAAACGGCCCTAAACCCTAAACATCCCTAGAGACCCTTCGTGCGTGTTTTAATGGCCGAAGCCTAAAATCCTCCGAGGGCCGGCAAGAGCCAAAGCGTGAAGCTCCCATCGCTGCATCGGTCAGCCTCCGACTCTGCGGTGCGCCTGGGACTGAAAGATCAGAGTAGAAAAAATCAGCACAAATCCCTCTTTAGAGCACATGTGACACTTTTTTCTGCGATGTGGACAGCGTCCGCTGACAGTCGCCTGATCCTGGCAAGTGACGGTTGCTACAGAGGTTACATGTTCTGCTCCTGCCATCTACCGCAGTCAACGAATAACAGCGTCGATCATGGCTTCTGTGTTGACGAGATCTTGGGACCGGTGTGGACGAGAGAACACATAGAGTGAACTTGTCAAGGACAGCCGTGAAGAAGCTTTCCCCTGCAGTTTATGGAAAGCGCTGGGCAAGCGAGACTTGGTCTGTTGAGATCAGCCCACAAGGGACATCTGGGATGTGCCGGGATGCACTTCGCACCTTCAACAGACGAGTCCGTCGAGGTGAGGGCAGGGAGAAGAGCCCAGCCAAGGAAAACAAGCGCTTCCTCCATAAGCGCCAGCAGCGACGATGCTCGGATTGCAGCAGCAAAATGAGAGAAATTTGAACCCATGCATACCGATGCCTAGTTCACTCACCTTACACATGCCTCGCGTGTCTGTCTTGTCGCTCTGCTGTGTGGCTCTGTAAGGCTGGCTGGAGCAGACCCAGCGAACACGCTTCGTTGACTTCACAGCCGAGGAACGTGCACCTGGGCTAAGTCAACAGGCAGAAGACGGGTGTGCGGTCGAGTGCAGTAATTCACCGCCGAAGTTGCTGCGACCCCTCAAGACCTTAACCTCACCGATCACCTGGACAGAATTCCAAGGCCGAGTTTCGGAACTACTTCGATCACCTGAAAGGACTCGCAGTGTGGGGCTGGAGAGCATTCTGGGCTCATGCTGAGTTCGGAGGCTACAGTTATGGAGTTATTGTTCGAGTTGCCGATTGCCGATTCTTCGGCGCAGGCCAACAGGACCCCAACCCACAACTCAACGCCATACACCTGAACGCCACAAGGTTGCCATTCCGAGGGGCAGGATCCACACTCCATGAGTGCCCTTGAGACTGTAGCAGAAAGACCTGTTGCTGTTGAAATTGTGACGCTCCTGTGCAGCAGGTCTCGCAGAAGCAACAACAGGAGATCCAAGAGAAGTAAATCTAACCAGGTCATTAACCAATCAGGGTGTGTATGTGAATGTGCATTTGTGTTTCTATTTCACTTCTGACCTACCGTGCATTGCACCTAGCTTGAGTGTTATTATCATCTGATTCGGCATTGCTCATTGACAGAACCATTCGCCCAAACGGCTGTGTCGGAGCAAAGAAGCAGCCATCAAACGAAACATGACCCCATGCAATACGAGTTGAGAAGCTTTGGCGTATTGTCTGGTTAACTAAACCTTAAGATGGTCCGACTGATGCGTACTATGACTTGGGAATGGACGGCCGAGTAGGTGGGATAGTTGAGGATCAGGGCTGATTAGCCGATATAGCTGGCAGGACCCAACGGTCTGCTTCTCGACTGCCCTTTTCGAAGTGGTGTGCGGGCATGTGCGGGCTGCGGGATCTCTTTGCGAGAGGTACAGGTCCCGAGTTTTCTGGCAGGGTTTGTGTTGGCGTTTTGCGTTTCACGTCACGTGCTCACGGTGGATGCGTATCAAGCCGAGGATTCGTGGTGAGGTGATCGAGGACATGCTTATCGCCCTGGGAGTTGTCAACACGCAGGACAAGACCGGAAGAGTCGGAGACAGATTGAAGTGAGTCGGCTGATGTTGCAGCAATGCTGCATCATCATTTGGTAATGGAGTTTAGGGCTGTTGCAAGCAATTAGGAGCCACTCTGACTCGGCCTGATTCGAAGTTCAAGTCTTCCGCAGATGAGAGTCCTAGAGGTCCTAGAGTCTAAGAGTTTCTACTGTTGTGGCAGCTGCGTATTCTGTGCGTGGCAGGACGAAGTCTCCGGGTAGCTGGACTGCAGCAGAGTCATGAATAGACGACAGCCGGCGCCTGTCTTTCGCAGTGCAGCGGTCGCAGCAATGCTCCCAGGGGAGGGCAGGTGAAACCTAATGCAGCTCAGGCTCATAGACAAGATCGATGCGCCTGTGGCAGCTTTAGTGGGTTCCTCCGAGTGATCATTTTCTTGTTGGGCGGGTCCAAGCAGTTCATACATGCGGCAGAAGGCTTTGAGACCGAGTGGCCATAGAAGGATCTGAAGACCCGCGAACTGGACTTCGAACAGTTTCTGGAGCTGATCACCGTCCGAAATGACTCCAAGACTATCCAAGTGAGCCTCGTCTGCTTTGGCTTCACCAACTCAAGCCTCTGCTTGCCCCAATCCACCTAGACTTAGATATTGGTGTTTCAAGCATGATGGAAGGCGCTCCGAGGGCTGAGGACTTAGGAGTGGTCTTTAGTGTTTTCAGAATGCTAAGCTGCCACAGAAGAGACTTTGCAGCACGGGCATCCACTTTTCAGCAAAGGATGATCAATGTGCCCTGATGCAGGTTCAGAGAGATGCTGGAGGCACTCTGGCTGGGCCATGGTGGGAATCCTCTTAGCGTTGAGGGCACATCCATGAGCCGAGTCTGGTATCAAGTGCCCTCACCTTGGGCTTGTTGCCTGCTGCAGGGCAAGCTCGGTGACCGGAACCTGAATTTCCAGACAGCATCTTGGCCTGCAGCCCGAGTGTGGCGGCATCACGCCGGTGACTTCAAGTTTCCTATTCTCGGCGAAGACGCATTGTAGTAAAACCAATGATTCACAGCGGCTTTGGTGGTAGAATCGCTGGGAACATCGACCAGCATGCCTTGAGGGCCTTGCGCCCAGCAAGATCTCCAGAAACGGCAAAGGCACGCTCGTCACTGAACTCAAAGCCTGCTTTTCCCAGAAACCCTAGTTTTGAAGAGCGGGAATGCGAGCGAAGCGAGCCGCAGTGAGGTCTTGTCGCAGTATCGTCGGCAGCGACTCCTCGACGGTTCTGCAGCCAGCATTGATGCAAGTAGCACTGCCAAGCAGCATCGTGTCTTTGTGCCGGTGAAGACCTTTAAAGTCTTTGCAGGTTCCGGCTGCATGGAGCGATGCTCTCCGGAGCAGAGGGAGCTCGGGTGCAAGGCGCAGCTTGCCGGGCGCAGTTTGCCTCCTAAACTCGGCCTTGTGCAGGTCTTGAAGAACTTCACTGCTGCTCGGACGGGTAGAGGCGGTAAGCTCTGCACAGGCCAACCGTACTTCTAAAAGACCAAAGTGACATTCAAGCTCTAAACTTGAGACTTGCACGCGCCCAGGAGCTGACTCGCAATCGCAACCGCAGAAGGAGCCGCTCGTGATGCTGGAGGGCATTTGCGTCGTAGCCTAGTCTCATTGCACAATTTCGTGTCAAGCACCGCACCGCCTCCCCGTGCCTTGGGACAGATGACTTCACGACGGCGGCATGTGCAGTAGTGATGAAGCGTCCGCATCTATTCCGGTCCTAGCTTGTGAAGGCCTCTGCATGTGCTTTGTAAGCACTCTATCTCAGACTCTCAGACTACCGCAGTTGCACCGTTTCTGTTATGTACGATAGATGTGTCTTCTTGCGGCTAGGAACCCCCGGGACGAAGTGCTGGACCTTCTCGAGGAAGAGGAGAAGGAGGAGGCCTGCGGTTACAGAGCTGGTGTGCAAGACGTTCTGTCTAGCATTTCTAGCTGCAAGTCTCATGCAGTTCATCAGCCTTCGTTCTTTCCGAAATCGGGAGAAGGACCTGCCAGTATGGATAGGAGTTCAAACCTTCTCGGCAAAGAGTGCGCTTCTTGTCCTAGGCGCCCTTGGGAGGAATGAAAACGCTGTGGCGAGGCGCCGGAGGGGTGACAGGGCTGTAGTTCAGGCTTGAAATCACATGGAATTAACTCACCGGCTTCACCCGAGTGCCTGCATTCTTGCAACATCTTGTAACTGTCCCGCTGCCGTTGACTAGGCCTCTGCACAGAGCACAACTTGACGCCCTCGCGGCCCACATCGAGATCCCGGGTCGCCCGGCGAATCCCATATCCATCCATATCCTACATCCTCCTCTCACCTCTCCTTTCTTGTGATGGCAGCCATGGGCCATGGCTGTGAGAGACAGGTACTGGAGCGGCCGAAGTCGCCCACAGAGATTATGGTGCCTCGGTACGCAAGATATCCTAGACGGCAGCTGCTGAGTTTTGCCTCGGCTTGGTTGAGAGTTGCAGATTTCCACAGTTTAGTACCGCTTGGCGGATTGCCACTCACGAGAGGCTTACTCTGCATCCCCGACACTTGTCCAACCTTTCGAACGTGTGCCGTACATGCAAAAGCGTTGTGACTGTCCATGGTGCATATGGTGTTGTGGTTCGGTCAAAGGCGCAGGCAATGCCACAGGCGCCATTCACGCGGTCGCCGGATTTTGACGCCAATTTTGTTAGAGCTGTGCAGCTTTGCCACCGAAGCTCATGATGCATCCGCCCGGCCTGGACCTTCCACTGATTGATTTTTTGAGAAAAGTTCTTCTTGAAAAGTTGGCTTTGCCGAAGACGCATCGGGTAGTGACTTGCGGAGTCAGACCTAGGGCATTGCTGCAGACCCAAGCTCAAAGTTTCAGAGGCCTTTGCCCTCCTCTAAGGCACAGTTTCATGAGGCCGATCAAGCGGGGGAGCCCAGCATCTCGCGCGATTTTGGGCTCCTTGCAGCTTTGCACATCTTTGCACGTTGTGTTTGCTCCCGTCATCCGAGGCCTCCAGGAAGCGTCACACCACAGTTCAGACGGCCCCTTGACTCCAGCCGATGGCAGAAGCTTCAGAGCAGACGATCTCGATCCCAAGCCAAGCGCTCTCAGCCCCGAAGCTGAACCTTTGAAACCTTCGTCCCCGCAGATCGTCGTGATGGCGCCAGCGCTGCAAGACGGATCCGTGCGAGGTCCCGAACTCGCCTTGGAGTCTTGGAGAGGGCATGGGCATGACAGAGAACAAGCCCGCCTTGTCGATGCAGGTGCATAGGTCCTCGGGGGGCCTCGCTCAAGGCGGGCCACTGGGCCCACTGCACCAGACAGGACTTCTGCTTCTGGGTCACTGAACATACTTGCCAGCATCTTCGCTGGTATGCCTCGTGGTCCCTCTGGCCAGGAGCCGACTTGCATCCCGCACCTTCGATTCGGCAGATGTTTGCGCTATGGACTCTAGACTATAGATGCACCATGTTTGTGATATGCTTGACGTGCACAGCATCACAGCGATAATGACTCGGTTTGAATTTGTGTTCCGTATGGTTGTGTGCTTTTGTCTGCATATTGCCAATGGCGGGTCCGCGCCAGTCCCTGGCATGTTTAAGGCCTTCTCACAGCCAGTCTGGAAAGGTGCTGGTCGGGTGTGGAGCAGTGGCAACTCGAGCAATTACTAGGCCAGCGGGCCTGCTTCCTCCAGAAGGCCAGATTCAAAAGCATTGCGGCATTGCTGCAACCAAGACGATGCCCTTGCCACACCCGGCCCATTGCACAGGTTTCCCGCGGACCGTGGGCTCGAAGCCCCCGTCCCCACGTTAGCAATGGAAGGCACACCCGAAGGGTCCCGGCCATACAGGAGAAAAGCACGCCTCCTGCGCAGATGCGCGCACTAGAGGGCAAGGCAAGCACAGCTGGAGGGTGAATGCATGTGACTATCTTTCCGCTGAAATCGATAAGGCTCGCGAGCTGGCTCCAGGGGTGAGTGAGCTGGCCCGCCGTGAGAAGCAGCGCCAAAGCTGCGAGGTGCCATCGCAAGCTGTCGATGGCTGAGGTGCGCAAGGGGCAATCGATTCAAACTGAGTGTTTTGCCTACGAGACTCCCGGAATCTCTCTGAAGCGTGCAATTCGTACCGCGGTCTGACAGCCCTCAGAGCTCTGACAGATGAGCATGCTGAGCTCCCTTGTGATGTCGGTTGCTCTGTTGCAGAAAAGGCGTGGCTTCGAAGTGGATCCTCCCGGGTCGCCTAAAGAAACATGTGCCGACAGAGCCTGCCTTCGACGACTCGACCTCAAGGGCCTTCTTGCGACTCCCACGACATGCTCTGCGATGGTTCACGTCTCTAGAGTTGTCACCATGTAATACCACCACAGCTTTCCTGCATCGCCACAAGTCCTCCTCCCATTCGCGACGATGCTCGCACTAGAAAACAAGCCTCTCCGCCCCAGAATTGAACTTCACGGTGCTTGTATGTGCTTGCGTCATCTTGCGTCGCAGCTTTCGGCCCAGACGAAGTTTGAAACTCTGGTAGTTCGCGACTTCGAAGCCATGCCTTCCAAGGGTTGTGCAGTGGCCATCGCCGGCGTGGGTGCTTACGCCGCCGCCCAGGCTTTCGTGGCCCCGACTGCCCCACAGGTGCAAGAGCAGCGCGAGGTGCGCCAGCTGAGGCAGCAGGCCACCGCAAGCGTGACCTCCACCACTTCCTCAGCGGCTGCACTTGCTCTGGGCGCAGCTGGCGTCGCAGCCGCCGCCGCTCAGGCCGGCAAGCGAACTCAGCGCCGATGCCAGGTCGTCCGCCAGGCCACGGCGGTTGCTGAGAAGACCTTCACCAAGATGCCGGCATCCGTGAAACCCGGCGTCGTCACCGGTCAGGCTTTGGTGGACCTGCTGAACTACGCCAAGGAGAACGAGTTCGCGATTCCGGGAGTGAACGTGGTGAGCAGCAGCTCCGTCAACGCGTGCATGGAGGCCGCCAAGAAGGCCGGTGGTCCCATTATGGTCACTTTTTCAAAAGGAGGCGGCCAGTTCATCGCCGGAAAGGCCGCTGACAACTCAGACGATGCCGCCTCCATCGCGGGCACCGTGGCTGGCGCCCTGCATGTTCGCCAGGTGGCCAAGCTCTACGGCGTGCCTGTGATCCTGCACACTGACCACTGCCAGAAGGCTTGGCTTCCTTGGTTCGACGGACTCATGGAGGCCAACGAGGAGTATTTCGAGAAGAACGGAGAGCCCTTGTTCTCCTCCCACATGTTGGATCTGTCCGAGGAGCCTTTGGAGGAGAACATCTCCATCTGCAAGAAGTATTTGGAGCGCATGTCGAAGGTGGATCTTCTCTTGGAGATGGAGCTGGGCGTGACTGGCGGTGAGGAAGACGGAGTGGACAACACCGATGTGGACTCCTCCAGGCTTTACACCCAGCCTGAGGAGGTGTGGCAGGTCTACGAGACCCTGTCTGCCGTGCCCAACGGCAGGTTCACCGTGGCGGCAGCCTTCGGCAATGTCCACGGTGTCTATGCCCCTGGCAACGTGAGCCTGAAGCCAGTGATCCTGCACAACACCCAGAAGTTCATCAAGGAGAAGCTTGGCACCGACGACGACAAGCCGGTGTCTTTCGTGTTCCACGGAGGCTCAGGCTCTTCCTTGGAGGACATCCGCTATGCCATCGAGGCTGGCGTCATCAAGATGAACATCGACACCGAGTCCAGGCTTTACTAGCTGTAGGGTTGAAGGTTTGCTTCAGAAGTGTTTGCTGTGGTTTTGGGGTTTAGGACGGAGGTCCTTTCATGTAAAAGCTCCAGAGCTAAGCACAGCCGAGGACACTCAGTGGGCCTTCTGGGACGGCATGAACGAGTACCAGAAGAAGAACAAGGACTACCTCCAAGGCCAGATCGGCAACCCTGAGGGACCAGAGAAGCCCAACAAGAAGTACTACGATCCTCGCATGTCCCTCCGAGCGGGTGAGGAGTCGATGGCAGACCGCTTGGTGAAGTGCATGGAGGACTTGAAGTGCATCGACCGTCTGTAGATTACCATTTGGCATCGGCAACGTCCGAAATCCAGAGATGCCCGAAATTTTCCGAGCTTTGTTCTGTGAGCCACTTTAACCACAGCAGCTGGGCAACGGTTTATAGCCTGCCTGTACAGTATAGTGTAGATAACCTACTTAAACTGCAGCGACCGACTGCGGCAACAAAAAATATACCTTCGGGAGACACCTCAAACGATGGGGGATTTTCATGACTAATGGCTAGATTCGTTTGAAACATTTAAAATTCAACTCATCACAATATCGATTCCGATTTGAATTCGTTTTTGATTCTTGATTCTTGGTTTGATACAAAAGATCATCCAAAGGTCCGTATTATTGATTTTAGACTATGGGCCGAATAGAGGTCGGATCTAATATTAATTTCGTACGATTTTTTAATTTTTGGATTCTGAGTAGAGAGGTGTTTAAAATACTATCGTGGAAAGAATAGCCCAATAATTAATTTTCGATATATGTATTTTCGTGGATATAAGGGGGGTTGAGGAATGTTATGTAAATTTGATTATTCTGTAATCTGGGTTCGGAAAATGGTAATGCGGATCGGAATTAGATTCGAGGTATATTGATTTCTGATCAAACATAGTTCTGCTTGATTCTGAATTTGAAGATTTGGAGAAAAAATTGTTTAGGGTAGTGGGGTCTGAGAGAATTTAGATTTGGAATTCTGGATTACATTCTTTTGGGAGCTAGGATATTTTGAAATTTGATTTAAATCTTTTAAATCTTTTATGATTGAGAAGATATTATTGATCGTGGGGAAAAAAATATTTTTTATTTATAATATACGATAAATAGCTATTATATAGATTTTTGAAAAGTAGCATATATTCTGAATTGAAAAATTATATAATGAAGGTGTGAATTTACATATAATTTATGAAATATATATTTGCTTTATTTCTATTTTATTCTAGATTTAGAGATATAAAATCAAAATGAAAAAAAAATATAAATTCTATAATAATATTAATTAAATTTGAGGTATTATTACAATACATTATTGCTGGGCATATTTATCTTTCGATTTTTTCGATTTCTTATAATATATGCTTCGGAGATAATGGAATTGAATCTATGGAAATTTTGTCATAATTAATTTTCTATAATTATTGGCAAAAGATATTTTTATATATTTTTTTATCGTTTCGGTTACGCCGAATACCTGCCGATTTCTGTACACGGTCGTTTTAAATATTTCGTTGTCACGCGTTTCTCCTTAATCTCTCTCTTCTATTCATTATTTCTTTCTCTAGATTTTTCTGGACCATGCTTGCAAATTATTCAATAGAGAAAAAAAGAAATTAAAATTTGAAATTATATTCGATATTAATGAATTTATATATCTTCTTTATATAAAATATATTATTTTCTAAATTTAAAAATTACAAGAAATCCAACGATTTCTAACGAATAAATATAGAAAATTTAGAAAGAGCCTCATAAATAAATAGACAAATATAATCAAATAATTACGAAAATAGAAATATTTTAACAAATAATCAAATAAATAGATAAAGAATCTGATAAATAAGACAAAACTAATATTCTATTCATAAGCAAACAATCAAATAACGAAATCATTAAATAAATAAATAGTCAATCAAATAGATCATAATATATATAATCAAGTAAATAGATATACATAGATAAATTATATAGATTCCTATAGAAAAAAAATATTCATAAATAGATATAGATAGATACATACCCATCCAGACAGACCGGCAACAAAAATAAATAAAGATGAATAGAAATAAAAAATATATAGAGACAAATATAGAGATAGATATATAGATATAGAGACAGACGGCAAAGATAGACGTAGAGACAGATATAGATATACAGACGGAATACAGACGGATATACAAGCAGACAGACACATAGATAGATAAACCCACGCACAGACAGACGCACAAACAAACGCACAGATAAACAAACAAACAGACGCACACAGAGACACCCACATTCACGCATACAGAGAAACTAAAAGTTTAAAGCTCCCTTCGAATCGGCGGGTGGTGGTGGGCATTAATATATATGAGGAGATCTCGGATCTTGTCGTTTCTGTTTTTTGGGGGGGGGGGGGGGG